GATACCTCACACTATGCGGCAATGCGCTTGCGCTGTTCTGGTGATTTCTCCGGCCTTTCCATATCATTATCATCATTATTATCCTTCTTGGTCTTTGGTTTCCCGGCCTTTCTTGATTCCGGCTTCCAGCAAGCTTTAGTCAGAGACTCTCCCAGCAACTCAGCAACACCTGCTGCCATAGCCTCAGCCTTCTGAAAGTACGGAAATGTCCCTCGCTCAAAGTGATTAGATAGCCACATATAAGTGGACAGCACTTGGTGTCTGGTCTCTAGATCCAACAGCTCGGAATCGTTTCGGGCAGAGGTTTTGGGCATCCCCATTGATATATTCACAGGCAGGCTTTGGGCGTACGAAGACGCAAACCTTAACAAGTGGTACATTGCTTTTGGGTCTCGGATGTTGACCGGAGCAAAACAGAAGTTGAAACGGTCTTCTAGGGACAATCCGGAGACTTTCTCCAACATATTTGCTATTCTCTTTATGTGGCTATGGTTGCACAAGAAATACAAACTGTCTAAACGGCAATTCCCTCCAAATTTTTCAAGAAGTTCCGGGAAGGTGGAGTTCGGAAGCTGCCCGGCAAACAGTTCTACCTGTTCAAAGAATGGAAATAGCCCGACTTTCTTGACTTCATCAAATGGTTTTTTCAAACACTCAATCAAATACTCCAAATCATCCAATTGCAGAGTGGTGGTTAGTCCTTCTGGAAACCGGCTCCCCCTCCGGCCCGCTCTCCCCGCAATCTGCTTGACCTGTGATGCCGGGACAGGGACGATTTTGTCCCCGTTATATTTTGAAAGACTGTAAAAAACAACCCTTCTGATATTCAGATTCAATCCCATCCCCACTGCATCACTAGCCACCAGAATTCAAAAAAAGGTATTTCCCATGCAATTACCAGTTGAATTAAAACTGTTAGAAATAAAAAGAGAATACCAGTGATTCCTATAATTTACGATCCATATGCCTAACCATCCATATCTGGACACAGGGATTTTAATTATCATTCTATCAAATAAATTATCATTCTATCAGCACACACAATTACCAGAATAAATATGATACTTAAATACACCATAAATGCATAAGGAAACAACCTCTGAGCATATGAAAGGACAATATGCAACAACTAGATATGCTCTTATAAATACTATATTATTACTACATAATCAAACACACAAACTTAATCACTATATGGATATGAATATCAACAGCCATGAACACGAAAATTCAAGAAGAATATACTAACAAGCACGAAAAAGGCGGAAACTCATTCTTCAGAATAAGAGAAGCAAACAGAGGCACATGACTACAAGTGGTCAGACAACTCTGGCCACAGAAGGTATGGCAGGTATAAACACCAAGTATAACTACTTTGTGATACTGAAGTGTACCTTTCTTTAACATACTTCTTTCCCTATTACACATTTCAATGTAAATGTTCATATTTGAATAGGCCCCCCATGAAGAAATCAGCCCCAAGCACAACAGTGTACATTGCATGAAAATAATCCAGGTAAGCCTATTACTACAGAACCCATGACGAATACAATTTTTAAAATATTTACATTGTTTCTTAATTGGAAATGAGCAAAAAAACCCATCAGTTTAGCACTTCCTGTACTAGGAGACTTGGCAGGTCCTAAGAAATATCATAGGTATTTCGTAATAACCCATCAACAAAATGTTTGTTTTCGAAGCATCCTATCACAATTTATGGTCCCTTTTCAATAAATGAGATTCTGATGATATAATTTAGAACACATGATTTGAATGTAGAACTTTTACTTCTCTTTATACATGAGTATACTATAAATTACATGAACATGAAAACCTAGATGACTGTTTCATTGGTTATCTGTTCTAATTAATTGATCAATCAGGGTTAAGTTTGCCACTTTTTAATGATTCCCTACTTCAATCTCTTAACGTTATTTATTTTGTCTAAATTGACCCTTCTACCCCTATTAATTCACTTGAATTTTTAGTCACCGTGGACAGTCAAACAGAGTGTCGGCCGGAAGGCATGCCTTATAGAGCTAGGGTTAGAGGTAGGTTATTTCCGCTGGAAGAAATACTTGGAGGTACGCGGCATAATAGTTCATGTTTTTTTTTAATTTGGAATAAATGGCTATATTGATATAGTAATTACCAAAGTGACAATATCGTTCCACACATAATATATAATATACGCAAGTAGCTTATTCCGATTAGTTTTGATTATGAGATGAACACATTAGTTCAAACGTATTTCCTAAATGTCCTTCAGGTTTGTGTGCTTTTTTTAAGCGTTGGACTCAATGCACGGGTTCTACCTACATGACAGTGCCGATGATGAAACTGTCGGTACGAACTTCAGTTGTTTTCTGACGAGGGAAAAGAATAGGGCAGACTGGAATTCATTACTTTTTACGTCATGGGGGAGAAATTGAAGGTAATTTAAATATGCATCGTGAATTCTGAGTATCGGACTTCAAACGTATAAAAAACTGAACTCTGTATGTTAGCATTTAACAGTTACCAGCCTCTTTTTTGTCACTCTGTATGTTACCATTTAATTCTGTTCAAATCTATGTCTGTATGGTTAAATGGTACAGTAACCTGCTAATATATCCTTTGTATCCTGCATACAGATTCTAAGAGCTCCTTTTGAAGTCTAACTTGGCCATATCTGAGGACGACTTTGAAGTCCACACACCGTTACAAGAAAAAAGAAATAAAATAATCCAAACTTCAAAACCTGATGACACGCCTTTAAAATTATTCACTACAATTCGTTGTTCTGATTATATTTATTGGCCATGATGGTTTGAAATTATTTCATACAAGTCCGTCAATCATGATGTTTGTGTGTAATCACCAAAGTTCTCTTCCAAGAAATGAGTTGTAAACGGAAATTTAACTTTTTACCCACATTTATTAAGGCAGGTACGGCTACACCTAGGTCATATGGCATAAAACCGAGATTGCTTCTAGGGATAGAACTCATTGTCATCCAAAATTCGAGAAAAGGTATTTCCCATGCAATTACCAGTTGAATTAAAACTGTTAGAAATAAAATGGGAATATCAGTGATTCCTATAATTTACGATCCATATGACTAAGCATCCATATCTGGACACAGGAATTTTAATTATCATTCTATCAAATAAATTGCATTCATGATAATTTAATACAGCACACACAATTACCAGAACATCGTATTCGTTCTCTGGGTCATTAAACAATGCCGCCTGATGCCGCCTGGTTTCAGGCGGCAAAGCTCCGTAAATAACACAACAACGGTGTTCCGTGAGCTTCTCAATTGCCAGTTTGACTTCAAATATCTCTCTTCGTGAAAAAGCAACAACACAATCTCCAGATCTCACGTTTTTCAAATCACCCATGAGAGTCTTTGCTTCAACCACTAATGGCTTGAACCGGTCGTAATTTTTCTCCACCAAATCATCTCCAGTCTCGCGACATATTTTCCTAACAATGCTCAAAACACTCGGATCGCCGCATAAATGTATCTCATCGGCCTTTACCCCAAGCAAAGCCCGTGTCCAGGCATATCCCCTACAAGGATCAGACATCATTTGAATCTCATCAATAACAGCCACATCATATAACTCATCTGTAGAAACCATTTCAACCGTACAAGCGACATGATTAGAGAAGGGTACAGATTTCTTCTCTTGTCCGGTCATAAGGCTACAGTAAACCCCTAAAGAGTTAACCTTGTCAAAAACCTCCATGGCTAACAACCTCAGTGGACTACAATATATTCCCTTCTTTGCTTCCATGAATCTCTGCAATGCATTGTACGTTTTTCCGCTGTTGGTGGGCCCACAGTGATATATGATCTTGCGTTTCATTGCCCTGGCAAAAGGGAACCAAGTGTGTGGTTTTGTTAGATCTGCTGACTCGATCATTGACCTAAATCTTTTGATTTCATCTGGGAATTCCTCAAAGCAGAATTCAACAAAAATTGGGAACAAGAATTTCTCGGACTCATGGGAAGGGCCAAGGGATACTAAATACTTGACAAGGTCAGTGTTAGAGTTCATGAAGAAGAATTTACTGAACTTAATAACTGCAGTGGGGAAAAATGAAGCCCCAATATAAATAGCCAATGCTTGATTTGATGCCCATCCGGATTTAGCAAAGCTCCTGAAAATCTCATTACAAGCATCCCAATTTGCTCTAGTTTTCTTGATGCTCTTCTTAGAACCCCTTAGCTCTCCATAAATCTCTACCGGATCACGACCCGAAAAATCAAGTAAATTCTCAGACACACTTTTCAAGCTGTCAGCTTCCAAATAACAAGGTTCATCACCCATGGATTCCATTGAAGTTGAACAAGACCCGCCATTTTCAACCTTGGTCGAATACGGGTACCCACCAGAACATAAAGCTCCAAACTTTGTGAAATGTGGGGAATGGGTCCGAAAGAACAGAGGCGGGTGAAGCAACCCGGGCTTGCCGGAGGGGTAATCTTGGAATTTAATTGGTTCTGGGAATTGGGCACGGTGGCAGCAGGTTGAGGATGAGAGGAATCTGAACCTATGTGAGCTTTTCCATGATGACGACGATGAACACAGATAAAAGAAGAGTCTTTTCACAGGGCCTCTTGCCATCTCGACAATCTCTGAAGACAGGGAGCAATTTAAGCAGCCGCAGCGAATGTGAAGATGGGGACGGTAATGGATTGAAGAACTTTACAATCAGAAGATGGCCGGCCTTCAATGGCGAAAGCCACGAACCCCAGAAACAAAATTGAACCCTAGCTCTGAAATATTAAATCCAGCCCTTATGAGATGAACACATTAGTTCAAACGTATTTCCTAAATGTCCTTCAGGTTTGTGTGCTTTTTTTAAGCGTTGGACTCAATGCACGGGTTCTACCTACATGACAGTGCCGATGATGAAACTGTCGGTACGAACTTCAGTTGTTTTCTGACGAGGGAAAGGAATAGGGCAGACTGGAATTCATTACTTTTTACGTCATGGGGGAGAAATTGAAGGTTATTTAAATATGCATTGTGAATTCTGAGTATAGGACTTCAAACGTATAGAAAACTGAACTCTGTATGTTAGCATTTAACAGTTACCAGCCTCTTTTTTGTCACTCTGTATGTTACCATTTAATTCTGTTCAAATCTATGTCTGTATGGTTAAATGGTACAATAACCTGCTAATATATCCTTTTTATCCTGCATACAGATTCTAAGAGCTCCTTTTGAAGTCTAACTTAGCCATATCTGAGGACGACTTTGAAGATTCCACACACCGTTACAAGAAAAAAGTAAGAAAATAATCCAAACTTTAAAACCTGATGACACGCCTTTAAAATTATTCACTACAATTCGTTGTTCTGATTATATTTATTGGCCATGATGGTTTGAAATTTATTTCCTAAGGTGTAACTTAATATTCATAAATTTATCAGGGGCCGGCCCAATAGGGAGACAAAGTGTCGTCCGGGCCGGGCCCAAATATTTAAGGGGCATAAATTTTTTTTAATAATATATATATATATATATATATATATATATATATATATATATATATATATATATATATATATATATATAAGCAGCCCGTCACATTTAAGGCCCAAGTCCAGTCCACAATTCCTAATTCTCTTTGTCCTTAGCCGCAAAGAAAGAACCGAAGGAAGATGCAGATTCACAGGATTTGCCGATTTGGGAAGAAGCCGAAGAAGAACACGATTCACGAAAGACGACGTTACGACGCCGCCGGACGCCGTCACGCCGACCCCCAGCCTCTAGGTATTCCATATTCATAGCTTTCTAATTTTGTAATTTTTATTTCTTAATTTTCTTTTATTATTTCATTTTTTAGATTTAAAATCTAGTGTTAATTATTAACTTTTAATTTGAAATCTTTTCTAATTTCATTCTCTAAAATAGAATGAATTAATGTTCTATATGTTATTTATTTGATTTGGATGAATTGATTGAATTTGTTATTTATGATATATTTATATAAAAAAACTGAAAACCGAAAAAAAAATAAAAAACTGAAAAATTGAAGAATTGATATGAATTTATGATTTATAAAAAAATTAAAACTGAAAAAGAAGAAAAATAAAAAAAGAAAAATTGAAGAATTGATATGATTTTATGATATATTTATTTGTTTGCTTGCTTTTTCATATTTGATTTTACTAAGTAGTAAAATTTATTTGTTTGCTTGCTTTTTCAAAATTTAATAGCTATGGCTCCTAAACAATTATCCGGTAGTCAAAAAATATAAAAAAAAGAGAAACCAAGATGAAGAAATGAGAAACTCTCAAGCCAGGGCTCTATATAAGTTTATTAAACCTGTTGTTGAAAACGAAGAAGTAGAAGTGAAAGAAATGGAAGAGCAAGAGCATCTACAAATAGAGCAAGAATATGTTAATTTGTTAGATCATTAGGGATAGGATTTTTAGGGCCTTTTTTATGTTTCAGCCCAGGCCTATGAATTCTCGGGACCGGGCCTGAAATATATATTGTGTAATTATTCACTATATGCATAAAGATAAGAAATTTTGAATGAGAGAGGACTCACTTCATTTCTTCATTTTCATTTGCATAATTGTACATAGAAACTACATACGATGTTGTAGGATGAGACGGAGAGAGATGGCACAGATGTATGCAAAAAAGATTGAGAAAAAGAAGATCAAAATGCGGAGGGGAGCGCAAGAAGATCCATGACAATGAAACTCTAGGTGTAAAGACAATCAATAAAGCAAGAAAAAGTACGGAAAAGATCCAAAGTACAAAAACGAATAAGATCAAAATTTCCATACAAGCACATCAAAGAGAAATATAGTTTCCAATTTGCAGCTATTTATATTTTGTTAAAACATTTTGTATTGATCAAAATGCTACTACGGGTTTGAATGGTTTTTCATTTTAAAGCAAAAAATAATAAAAAGTAAAAAACTGTCAATTTTTTTGTACATTTCCCATTAGAAATAAACCAAAAATAGAAGTAACCAGCATTACAAAAATAAGAGCCACATGTTTTTATCTATAAAATGATACTATTGCAATATAATGTGACAAATGAGACACTGTATATTGACATTTCATTGTAATTTTTGTATTATATGTTTATATGTTGGTCTTATAGACATTATAATTATCATTTTGCAGATAAAAACATTGATGGATACCCTAGAATGGGGGTATCTGGCCCAACAGAAATAGCGGCCCAACCCAACCAAGCTCAGGCCCAGTCAGTTGGGCAAAAACTGGGAAGAAGCTGAAGTCTCAAGAGAGCTAGTGTCGCGTAAGAGACTTACATGCACTCGGCCCGGCTGACACGCTCAGCCTCGGACCACCCTCGGCCGGCCTTTCATCGGAGGAAGCAGAGCACGTGTACTCGGCCTTGGCCTAGGATGCTACTGACCCGAGACCACAAGCATGGAAGCTGCCTGACCAGTCAAATCAGGGGGGCCCACGATTGGACCCCTGCTACACCACCGTCAGATTAGTTGTAGCCACCCTACTTGTAACCTATTTTGTATAGCCACTCTAGGGATAATGATGTGGTTAGCGCCGTTGGTTAAACGACCGAATCTTAGTGGGCCCGATCCGTTGGACTCTGAACCAACGGTCGGGAAACCTATTTGTAGTTTCTATATAAGTCCTTTATTAAGGGAAAGGAGGAGAGACTTTCTTGCATACTAGTAGTTACAATCTTGCTTGATTCCCAACTTGTGTGCTCTCGACTTAATTTGATACTCTTCTCGTCTAGTCTCCTAGGCCTCGTGTTCCATAACCCAACAAACATAAAGATTCTATTTTGCTTATTTTCTTATATTTTATTTCTATTTTAATCTTTCTCTTTTTCCCTTCAGAATCATTGTGGCACTACTTTTTTCTATTAATATTTTTTTTCAAAATTGATGCGAGGAGAAGAATTGTTGTATTTTAATTTTTTTCAAATTAATATTTATAATAATAAAGTCACAGGATCGCTAATCCAAGATTTTATATTTAAATAATGTGGTAAAGATTAATCAATTTTTGTATTCAACGCGGGGATGGGGGAATCATTTTTTCACTAATCTCAATTAATGTGGGGGAGAAAGTTTATGTTTTTTAATCCTAGAATCAGAAGATTGGTAATTCAAGCTTTTTAAAATTTATGTTGGGAAAAATTTGCATTTTTTTAATTTATACGGGGAAAAGAATTATAGATTTGTATAAATTCAATAAACCTATATCATTTATATTTGACGTTTAAATGATGTCTCATAAAAAACTAAGTCATTTTAATACTCCACATTGTAGAATCACAAACAATTTCGTACCACCCCGTGCATGACAGGGGTTAAAATATTGGTTATATTAAAGGATTTACTCCCTCCCTCTCTTTTTATATTAAATGTTTTGATTTACAATGTTTGACTGAAATTATTTTCAATTCATTTTATATAAAAAATGGTGTAGAATTAAAAAAATAAAAATACTACTCCCTCCATCACAAATTATAATGCATGTTTTCCTTTTTCATCTGCTCCAAAATGATATGCCGGTTTCCTTATTTGATTATGTATGTGGATTTCCCAAAATACCCTCCCATATAATTACTTCTACCCACCCTTTCTTACTCATACCCACCTTAAAAAAATTAAGGGACAATTTTGGAAAGTCAGTCTTAAGTTTTTCCTTCCTTAGATATGGCCTAAAATCAAAATAGGTGTTATAAAATGGGACGGAGGAAGTATATTAGAAGGGGAGGGGGTTCTATAGCCACTTATTTTTAGTGGCTTCCTAAGCCATGGAACAAATTGCGACACCTACGGTGCTCCGTTCGCAAAAATGATTGTTCCTACCCCTAACTCCCAATAAACCCCCACCTAATCCTGAACCCAACCCACTCCTCAAACCACGTTAATATTTGCAACATACCATACTTAGGAGTACGAAGTTAGACTCATGTTACTCAAATCAACCCATACTTTGCAAATTCAATATCAAAACAACAACTGTGTATAGGGGTGGACACGGTACCGGTACGGTACCGTGACCGGAAACGGTACCCCCGGTACCGGTACCGTTACCGTCGGCCGGGACGGTCCACCGGTTCCGGGAACCGGTATTGGTACCGCCCACTCCGGTATCGGTTCCGGTGCCCATTTTTCGGTACCGGCACCGTAATTAATTTTTTTTTATTTTTATTTTTTATTTCATTCTTCCCTTTATTAATTTCATTTTTAGAGTTTTTTATTTCATCCTTTCTTTTAACAATTACACATTTACAATTCTACACTTTAAAAATTTAATAAAAAAGCAAAAAAAAAAGAAATTATGGGTGGCCGAAACGGTACCGGAACCGGAATCGGAACCGCCGGTACTGGAACCGGAATCGGTACCGGCCGATCCGGTACCGGTACCAAGGGGTGGCGGTACCGGAACCGACGGTTCCGGAACCGGAACCGTCCCGGAACCGTACCGTGTCCACCCCTAATTGTGTAAGTTCGTGGGGGCGCAGTGGATAACACCAAACACAAGCTATGCAAACAAAACAATCAACACAAGTTATCACAGTAACAGATGACTAACAGAGTGGTATAACACCTTCTCTGTCACAAGCACACACGTAGAATATAAAGTAAAAACAGCAAGCAAGACACCAGAATTGTTCAGCAGTTCGGAGCAAATTCTCATACGTCTGCAAGGCCCACGTCCGTGTAATAACCCTTCCACTAAATCACCGTATTGATTTGTCTACTTACGAATAACTTGACGACAAACTCGGTTTGCGTCTATCTCCACGGCTTGTTACACCTCAAAGATCTTTTTCAAGGACGTAGATTCCAATACACCTTCAAATAAAGATTCTCCTTGATCTACAAAAACATGCAGGCTGTTCTAAAGCTCATAAATCGAGATTGAACTGTTGAAATTCAATCTCCACCATTCCGATTGAAGCTCCACGAGTCCTTAGACTCCTCCTAAAATTTCAGCACGATCAGACAAGATTTGGTACTTCGATCATCGACAAAACCAGAGCTGCGTTCTGGGCAAAAAAATCAGCGGCAATGTGCAGATTGTAACTTCGATAACAGAAGATTCGTAACTCCGATTGATGTGAAATTTTAACACGTTGAAGCCCTATGTGTTGGAAACACCCTCTGAAAATATCAGCAAAATCCAACGGTCGGATCTCCGGTGATGATCAAAACTGTGCAGGCTGTCCAGAATATTTGCCCTATCAAACTCTGCACCTTGTTCTTCCTATTTTCGGATTTGCTTCAATAGTTTCGTATTTTTCCACCACCCAACTCTAAGGGAGGGAGAAGATAATATATAGAGAATATTCACCTTGTTAGAGTGTGCTTAGGAGTCTCAACCATGCATTCCTCCTCAAGAATAGTAAACCATGTAGAATTAGAATTCAAGTAGGATTAGAATTCTCTTCAAGCTCTTTCCTCTTTCTCTTCCTTCACATGCTACGACTCTAAGTCTAAATAAGACATCTAAAATAATTCTAAATAAATCTATTCGTTTGTCAAAAAATAATGCCAACACAATATGGAACTAACAATCTCCCCCTTTGGCAATTTTTTGACAAAAACGAATCTTAGCTGTTTTGAACCTCTTCTCCCCCTTTTTTGCATAAAAATGCAAAAGGTTTTATTAAGAATATTGGGGAAAAAAGAGAAGAGTAAAAGCGAGCTTGGGCATTACAATAATGAATATCAAAATAGACCTAGACTTTGTCACATCAATTTGAGCCATATTGAGCGACTCCCCCTCGGACGATGCATCTGAAAAAGTAACAATATGCAAAAATAAAGTCATTTATGCAACTAGCAAAAACATCTATGCTCTAAGGTATTCCACGCTAGAGATGAAACACCTCTTAGAGCATCCTCTAAATCAAGTAGAGATGGGTGTGCACAGACCCAAGCGGGATCTGAGTATACGAAAACGATCCCCATCAAATGCTCTTTTACACATGCTCACTGCCCGTTTTTTTATAGACATAAATTTCACACTCTCATGACTAGGAGGTGTCACTTCATCACACTTATGAGATGATTCAGCACTCTTAACAGCACAACGATCTATTTTCTTTTCTTCTTGATGCAAGCTTGCACTACTAACATGGCATTGATCAGAAGCAACATCCTTCACACAAGGATTATCACATGTTTTGTACTGATTCTTAGGTACCCAAATTATCCTTGTTGTCACATTCTTTTTTCTATATCTTTGCTCTTTAAGAATTTTGCATTTCCTCTGAATGTGTCCCCTTTTTCCACAGCAAAAACAAACATAATTAGCATAGACATTAGTATAAAAATACCTTTCAGGTTTAGAATAATGATCCTTATGTCTTCTCATACTAGATTGTGTCACAACTCTTTGCCTTTTTGCATAGGGTGCTGCATAAATTGTTCCAGCAGAAGCTTCATGAGATGTTCCGGCAGATGCAGCAGCTTCTGTTTTCCTTCCTTGTGGGACTTTTTGAGCAATTTCCTTTCTTCGATCAACAAACAAGTCAAATGGGGTCTTATTGCTTTCGGAACCTGAAAATCCGAGACCTGTCTTGTCTCCATAAAATTTTGAAACGTTCACTTGTTCCTCAATAGCTTTTGCTCCAGCACTTCTCATCCACTTGTGAAAGTTTTTGAGTGGATTTAATTCATACTTGAGATCTGATTGTTGCCCTTCTAAGTCTTCAATCTTCCTTTCTAGTTCTGAAATACTCTCTTTTAGTCTATTGCGCTCGGCAACAAGGTGATGATTCTCCAGGACAGTTTTCTGGTTGGCTTAAACAAGTTCTACCCACTTCCTTTGGAGAATAGCTAGCTCTTCTACTGTGTCAGCCTCTGTGTCATCTTCTGTATCATCCTATGTGTCATCCTCTGCTGTAACTTTACCTTTGTATCTCCGTAACTCTTTGAGGAGTTGTTCCACATCGCGTTTTGATTCAGCAAATTCACGTTTGAGGCTATCATTTTCCAAACATATTTTCTTGTTGACTCGTAGAGACTCTTGAAATTTTTCTTCAACAATTATAAGCATCTCCTTTGGATCCACGTCACTATCAGAGTCACCGTCAACACTATGGAAAGTAGGAAAAGCACAGCATGTTCCAGCACTGTCTTTAACACACTGCTTCTCTTTTTCAACGAGGATGACATGCTGCTTTTTACGTCGTAGATCTTCATGCATCTCCAACTCAATGGTTTCTAAGTTCCCCATCAGCTCGTCAAGAGACATAACATTGAGAGATTGTGTTTGTCTAATAGCTTTAACATCCATAAAGTATTTTTCTAGAAGAGAACGTAGCACTTTCAACACTAGCTTGTTTTTTGTAATTTGTTCACCAAGCCTTTCAGCCTCATTTGCCAACTCTCTAACCCACCCATGAAAATTTGTGATAGACTCAGCATCCTCCATTTTAAGATTTTCAATTTTGGACATCACGATCTGAAGTTTGGCAGTCTTGACTGTTGTAGTGCCTTCACGAGTAATAAGCAAAATATCCCAAGCTCTCTTGGCCTCTGTGCAGTTTGAGATAAGACGAAACTGGTTTCTGTCAACCGCTCCGAAGATTGCATTCAAAGCCTGATCATTCGATTCAGCAGCATCCTTTTCTTTCTTGTTGAATCTCTCATAAGGTTTCTGAATTAGTTCTCCATCTTCATTTGTCATAGTAGGAGCTGACCATCCAACCTCTATGCTTCTCCAAACCTGTCCACCAAGAGACTTGAATATCTCACATGGTGATAGATCAATCAAGCTAATAACTTAAGCTTGCCAAGCTCTGATACCAATTGTAAGTTCGTGGGGGCGCAGCAAATAACACCAAACACAAGCTATGCAAACAAAACAATCAACTATGTTGTAGAGAAGATGCTGTAGCACTGTCATAGTAACAGATGACTAACAGAGTGCTATAACACCATCTCTGTCACAAGCACACATGTAGAATAAAAGTAAAAACAACAAGCAAGACACCAGAATTGTTCACGCAGTTCAGAGCAAATTCTCCTACGTCTGCAAAGCCCACGTCCGTGTAATAGCCCTTCCACTAAATCACCGTAAGAATTACACAATCAATCACAACAGAACCTTCTAATGTATTGATTTGTCTACTTACGAATGACTTGACGACAAACTCGGTTTGTGTCTATCTCCACGGCTTGTTACACCTTCTCAAAGATCTTCTTCAAGGACGTAGACCATGCCTTCCTCCTCAAGAATAGTAAACCATGTAGAATTAGAATTCAAGTAGGATTAGAATTCTCTCTTCAAGCTCTTTCCTCTTTCTCTTCTTTCACATGCTACGACTCTAAGTCTAAATAAAACATCTAAAATAATTCTAAATAAATCTATTCGTTTGTCAAAAAATAATGCCAACACAATATGGAACTAACAAACTGTTTTCCAAAAATAGTAGGGCATACAAAGTAACAAACACAAGCAGTGATTAGTTCAGACTTTTTACTTTGAGATATTTTACAAAGTGAAAATTATAATCGGGCCAAGAGGGACGACGCCAAAAGTGCTAAAAGTGTCGAATTTGTATATGCACCCAATAATTATTAGTACGGAGTATTAAGTTTAATAAAAATAAGAAGCATCAGTTATACAAGGACGAAGATTGTTGATCTGGTCTTCTAACCTCCAACAAACAATTGCAGACTTAAATTTCAATCGAACAAAACCTCAGTAAATTCCTGGTATTATTCGGTATGGTACCTTTTCACAGTACAATTTCCAGAACTTGCCATACCTGCACAAACCATCAAATCTTTTTTTATCAGACTCAACCTTAACAAACACATTTCTGAGTATTAAAGGGTAAAGACAATAATATCATCCTTTTTTTCTCTTGTTCCCATCTAAAATAGAGGTGTGTGTGTGTTGGGGGGAGGGTGGAGGGGGGGGAGCTCACTTTGATCTGCATCGATCATCGTCCCTCTTGGCTCGATCAAAGAGTAGGATGGTGAGAAACACCACATAGAAATAAGGAAGAACCTGCAAACACATGGAGGGAGGAGAGAAGGGGAGATTAAATTTCAGGCCAGGGAGGGAAAGAAGGTGCATTCCTGCAAAATAACAATTTGAAAGAAAATACAATAAAGGGCACATCATATTGTCTTACGTGGTTAGAAAGAGCTGGAACGGTCCAGAAAAATGCAGCGGATATTTCAGGGACATAATGGAAGTGCCGAGCTAGACCCCACCTAAAAATTAGCTTGAGATATTATCTGAATTCTGTATTAGGTATGCTAAATTAACCACATTCATGAGAGGAAGAACCTAACATACATCTCATAAGACCAGATCTCTTTTTGCAAGGTGAAATTTAAAAAAAAAATGCAAGTACAAAGAGAGGAAAGAGAGATACCATCCTGATGTGAGCAGAAGGCTCGTTTTTGTCTCGCCTGATTCTGTTTTATAAGAGGCAACAATCTACAATATAAAATTAACATGATTTTCTCAATCATCAGATTTCAAAACATTACACTGGAAAGGTAAAAAAATGGTTGAAACAGAGTCCAGGCTGTGCCCTCTTTTACCTTTGATGGAGCTTTTCCCCAAACAGTGCATTTGCCATTTGTCCTACGGAATTCTTGCCTTTGCCTATCACAATCATAGTTGATATATATGCAAAGAATTCCAGCAATAAGAATAGAAAGTGCAAGCTGTAAGCAATTTTTGAGGTGGATTGTTAGAAGCATGAAAGTAGGATTGTATTTAACTTAGATGAGATCTGCATATTTTAAGCCATACCTGAAGTCCAAGATCTACTGGATGTTTGACAAGATACATTCCAGGAGAGGTATAAACTGATGGAACCCAAACCAAGCATCCCCAACATATATAAAATCCAGCTACAAAGATAGAAGCAAGATGTGAGATTGTTGAACTATTGAGTGGAATAGGAAAATCATAAGCAATCAAACATAGAAACCTCTGTCATGAGCAATATCCATTGTGTTCCAGTACCCAGCTTCCCACCAGAAGAACTTTGTGACATACACCAACATCAATACAGTATTCACAAGCATGGAATCAGCAACTCTCCCATATTCTTCATACTGAGAAGTACAACATATACATATGGTAAAAACCAATGAGCAGTTTTTCATTGTCAACATCAAGACACGGAATACATATCAAAATGTCGTAATGCCTTGAATCTGACTCGTTACAGCAGGGAGATGTCCGAGTTCCGAAGAAGTCCGAGAAATCCGAGTTCCGGAGAAGTCGAGAAATCCGAACTCCGGAGAAGTCGAGAAATCCGAATTCCGAGAAGTCCGAATCTCGAGAGGTCCGAATCTTGAGATGACCGAATCCTATTTTATTTGGGCTTTCTAATTATCTGTTAATTATGTAGTTTTGGGCCCAAGTCTGTTAGGGTTTAACCAAGCACTATTTATGGGTGCTACCACAAACCCTACGCTGTATTCTGTTCTTGCCTCTCCATCCGAAATAAAACTACTCCCCCCTCTACCCGTGGACTAGCCAACACAACGTTGGTGAACCACGTTAAATCTGTTGTCGTGTTTTCTCGTTTATTTTTGTTATTCTCGAATTCCTCATAACAAACTGGTATCAGAGCCTCCAGGTTAATCTGTGTTCTTGGAGAATTTCGAGATGTCTGCTTTGAACGTGAAAATCGACAAATTCACAGGGAGGAACAGTTTCAAATTATGGCAGATCAAGATGCGGGCTTTGTTGAAACAACAAGGTTTCTGGGCGCCATTGTCAAAAGACAAAAACGCCGTCGCTACTCCTGAGATGGCGACTCTGGAAGAGAAGGCGCACTCGACGATCATGTTGTGTCTGTCAGATGACGTTATCACGGAGGTCTCAGACGAGGAGACTGCTGCTGGCTTGTGGTTGAAGTTGGAGAGTCTGTACATGACGAAATCTTTAACCAACAAGCTACTTCTGAAACAACGTCTATTCGGTTTACGAATGGCTGAAGGTACACCACTCAGGGAACATTTAGAGCAATTAAATACTTTGTTATTAGAATTG